CTCTTAAGATAAATATATAGTAGTGACACAGGCCTAGTGACAGACAGACAAAATTGCCACAATAACGATTTTTTAAATTTTTGTAGAAATGTTTGTCATAAGGAACACTGCTGACATTGTTTCCAATCAGCAACCAACATTCTTCCACATGCACAAACGAACAGAACAAGATCTTCCAAACATTGGAAAATGTACTGAAAAATATTGCAATCAGTAAATTTTCTGAATTCATCCAATCAGACCATGATTCAGTAATAAATTTTGGAAAATTCCCTCTTGTCGTCCATTTAAAACGATACATAGGGAGATTGCACGTAATCACGTGTGTATTTTCTTAAAAGACATTTTTTTAAACATTTAGCAGTACTTAATATGTTTAAGGACATTCTCGACTATACGATATGGTAATACCAGATTTTCAATATTTAAAAAAAATGGAAATCTCTTATGTTTTTATGTTATCAAGATCCTAAAAACATTCTTTTTACGATAGTATTTAGTGTTTCTTAAAAATTCATTTCTTACCTTGTCAAAAAAAACATTTTAATCTAGTAGCGCATGAGTGTTTCATACTCTCGCTGAGAGAGAATGTTGGTCTACAATTGTATGTTTTTTTAAAAGTAAACCATACGATTGAAGAGCAGCGTCAGGTGTTCTGTTACTGACATTCTTTCCTGGTGAGCATTATACAACTAAATTGACTATAGATTACATTTTAATTGTTTCTTTTGCTACTTTATACTTGGACAAAAATAATATCGAGTGTAAAACATTCATGCGCTACTAGATTAAAATTTGGTTTGCTTTTTGATAAGGAAAGAAATGAATTTAAAAAAATTCCAAATACTATAAACCATCGTGTCCTGAAACATATGCCAAATATTTTGAAAGTAGTACCTACCCATAGTGTGGCTAAAAAAATAAGGCGCTTACCTACTCTGAAACAGGCTGTATACAGGGTGTTAGGTACATATAAGTATGTAAAAAAAATTGGGTGGTAGAGGGGATCAAAACAAGTATTTTTTCTAAATAAATCGAGAGTCCAACGTGTTTCGTTTGGAAGCCACCCCTAAAAAAATGGTGAAACAGGCATTTCTTCTTTAATTTTTTTCTCAGCAACCATAAGATTTAGAAAGCCTGTTGGCACGTTTTTGAATAGGATTTGGGGTACGCCCTTTCCGATTTTGCAAAAAAATTTTCAAAATTGTTTCTATCAAAGGGCGCATTCCTAAATGGGGGTGCAAAAAATTCTGATTTTGACGAAATTAGTATCTGGGGGTTTTTGAACATGAAAATCTGAAATAGTTTTTGAAAATCCAAAAAAAAAATTTCACTGCAATTCAATTCAATTGTCTACGAGTTTTTAAAATCACTTTTCAAACAAAAGTTATACTCATTTCAAAATTGAGACTTTGGGTTAAAAAGTGTCCCCCACCTACTAGTGAGTCATCTAATATTGCATGTAGTTAATTGAAAATGTGGCAAATAGCAAAAAATTAACAATTTAAGTCGATATTATGATACTTGGAGTAATGCTTATTGATTGTATTGTAATGGAACTGTAGATACTTAAATACCATTTTCCCATCACCCGCAGCCACGCACATTCTACATCTTCTTGGAATCGAATTTTTGACTTCGATACCATGATCAACATATCGAATTTTTTAATCATAATATTAACTTAAGTCGTTATTCTTTTGTTATTTGAGACATTTTCAATTAACTACACACGAAATTGGATCACTCACTATTAGGCAAGGGATCCAAAAGACCAATCTTCAAATGAGTATAATTTTTCTTTGAAAAGGGATTTTAAAAAACTCTTCATTTTGTTCCTTAACTTATCAAGCATGTACACAACAAATTTTGTGGAATGCTCTCCATTTTCGAATTTTCAGATTCGTGATTTTCTTGTACAAAAATCCCAGGTACCAAATTTCGGCAAAATCAGAATTTTTGTCGCACCTCCATTTAGGGATGCGTACTTCCTTGGTAAGAAAATTTTCTTGACAAATCGGAATGGGCATACCTACCCCAAAACCTATTCAAAGACGTGCAACCAGTCTTTGTAACTCTTCTGGTTGCTAAGAAAATAATTAAAGATGAAATGCAAATTTCACCAGTTTTTTTAGGGTAGCACCCAAACGAAATACGTTGGATTCTCAGTTTATTTAGAAAAAGTGCTTGTTTTGATCCCCTCTACCACCTAGTTTTTTATAATTATTTATTATATTAATTATTTATTATAATATTTATATGTCACACCCTGTGTAGCACCTCGGATCATAATTCCTTAATCCCCTAAACAAATTATTACTCTGGATAGCTGGAACTACAAAAATGTCCACTGATAGAGAGAAAGAAAGAAAGGAAGCGAGAGAGAGAGAGAGAGAGAGAGAGAGAGAGACGAGCGTCTCTCTCTCTCGCTTCCTTTCTTTCTTTCTCTAGGTACAAACAAAACTCCACTTTCTATAAGAAATATTACAGAGAAAAATAAGTAAAAATGCCAATTTGTAAAAAAAACGGTCTCTTCCAAACTCACTTCTGCTGTGATGAAACAAAAGATGTCAACTCAAGGAGAGTTAAACGGAAGCCAGTTTTGGTAGAAGATAACGAATTTCAAGTTCTCAGGGAGTTATTGACAATCCTCATATTAGTGAGTATGAAATTAGTAGGAACATGGATGTTTCAATGCGTTCTGTGCATCATACTCTTCAAAAGTTCCATCCATTTAAGATAAAACTGCACTTGGTGCAACCTCAAGTTTTTTCTGTATCTTATGCGCGTGTAATTTACTGATGAAAACCCGCAGGAATTGCACATCACCAGCAAAGACAGTGGTGAAACTCTTGGAAAATGTCCCTGTACCTGCCGGACGACAAATGGTTTAAGCAAAGTTATCGTTCATACGAACAGATAGATGGACAGACAGACAAAGGAACAGACGGACAGACCAACAGACAGACGACAGACAACAATACAAAATTATAAACGATCTCTAAGATCGTTAATAAAAGGCAAAAGTGTAAAATTATGGGACACGTAAAAAATGGTTTTTTGGTTTTTTTAAAATCACTTTTTTAGCAATAAACGCAGAAAAAAATTCCTTCCTTGGTGCAAGCCTCGACACTATAACGAACCAAATAGCGAAAAAAGTAGAACAATAGCTCTTAAGATAAAGAACTATAGTAGTGTCCAGACGAACGGACAGACGGACGGACAAAGTGGACAATAGCGCATTTTTTTTGTGGAAATGCGCTAAAAAGGGACAATTACAGGAAACCCCAACATCTAGTTCCTGTGCATCAAGTCAATGTTTTGCCGTTTCCCCAAGAAATTGGTTAACAACGTTTTGCGCAAATGTACGTGGGTATCATCGCGAAATGATAAGGAAAAACACACTTCTTGCCAGTGGCGGACTGGGCCGGCGCCGGTGCGGTCAGGGGTCGTACGGTGTCAGGTGCCCCCCCCCCAAAAAAACTACATTTGTAATCGATTTTGGAATAAGTGCAAATGCTTTAAAATGCTATTTTAGGGGGTTACTTTGGAGAAAAATTTCTGGTAGGTATAACCAACCCCCTGTTATGTGGCCGGTGCTGTTCGGTTGCCCGAGCCAGTTCAATTTGCCAGTCCGCCACTGCTTCTTGCTGCACTATAATGGGAGATCTATATCTATTGAACGAGACAACAAGCCTTCTACGACTTTTCAGACCCGAGATCTTGGCCCTCACATGGACGGTTGGGCGGACGGAATCCACAAGGATGCGCCAAAAATATCTATTATAGTTAGAAGTGCATTTTTCCCAAAAAGCAAAGAGTATATTAAAATCTTCTCATAAAACTGTAATCCTTGCGCCCATCTAATTCAATAATTTATCTTCGCCGGTCAGATCCCCATTTGAAAAAACCCACCCTGCATTGAACAGAAATGGGTAAATATAAAAATATAGACCACCTCCCCTATCACAGTGAACTCTCAGTTTTTTGGGTTTGGCTTTATGCAAGACAATCCTACTTTCACAAGTCTAAACCCAAGCGAACAAACTTTCTGGCAATGAGCCCATGATGTAGCATTTTGAGTCATTAACTCCTGACCTACATTTGGCATGATGAATACTACACCTCCTATCAGTTTCTGACTTCCAAACACATGCATGATACCGCCTTAATAGTTCTGACTTTAACTGAGCCACTGGCAGTATTTTAACAAATTTGAAAATGAAGATGCTTTACAACTGAAACTACACCACGTATCCGGTGGACAGAAACATAGAGATGGTATGTTGTTGACTATAAATCAATGCATACTATCACATGCCCAGAGCTTTAGAGACTGAAAGCAGATGGTGACAGAAGTAGATATGAATTACCTTACCATTCATTTTAGGGCGATGTTGCATCAACATAATCTTAATACAAATTTTGCTTTGGAAATTAGTAATCATTTCTTAATGATGCCTTATGTCAAAATATATGAACGCGTTCCAGTGCCATGAAAGCATTTAAAATGAAAACATTGAGAAAAAGAGTTATCGATGCGTCAAATAGTGCGACTGCTTTACCTGTAAAATGGGATACATCATCCGTTTCTACGATATATATAAAATAACTATTAACGTCGCTTTTAAAATACTTATATTACAAAAGTAACGTTCAATTTGGAAGTTGATACTAATTAACTTTTGCTCAACATTTTCGTTCAATGATAATAAAACGTTCACAGCTCTCAATTTGTCATATATGAAGGTGAACTATATTTACACATGCAGGTATTTTTGAATTGGGCGATTACTATTTGACACCATATCATTACCATCGATACTGATCTTTATGAATGCCAGTATATAACTACACAAAGCAAGTGCGAATGTAGACATGCAAGTTGCTGTAATTAGTTGCACTCACGATTTGTTGTTCACCCAAAAGCTGTAGCGCTCAATTTGCATATCGAAGGCTTCAATAAGCACACATTTGACGTTCCACCATACTATCTTACTTTTAATCACTTCTTTGTCACTGAAGCATATCAAATACAAGCTATACTTAAAAAATTACCTACTGTTCAATTAAGTAAGATAAAAAAATGAAAGCACACCTACTACTATATGTAAAATTTGGCTTAAAGTTAATAAGTAAGTACATAGTAGAAGTAAGCATTTTACCTTTGCATTCTCAGTATGAAACACCTGCTCGGCACTAAATAAGGACTGTAAGTTTGTTACAAGGAAAAGTATTCTTGAATCGTATAAAGCTGGTAATTCATCATGCAATTCCGAATTTAGCATATCGTAAGTCCTTTTCGCTTCCTCCAACTGTTCGCGGCCTTTATTTAATTTCACATCGTCTCTCTTTTTAGTCATGCCTAATTGCAAAGCCTGAAAGTTATGCCTTTGGCTATCATAGTCAACTAATTTGCGTCCTCTTTTATCTATTTTTTTCTGAAATGAAAAATTATAATCACAACATAGGTACCTATATGAAAAAAGAAAGCATGCGTGAATGCGATTTGAAATAAGTATGTAGTTTAAGCGTATAATTACCCTCATTTCTGAAAATTGCCCTTGGTACGTATTGAGTGGTATCAAAACTTGATCGGCCAATTTGTGGTTGAAGTCTTGCCATAGCATATCTACAGATTGTGTTTGCATAAATAGTAAATCGTGTCCAGACCATTGACTTTCATAAATTTCTCCTATAGATTCCAATAATGATTTTGATGCTATTTGTATAGCTGTAAAAGAAAGAGAAACATGTTAACATTTACCTATATATTCAATATGCACAGTTAACGTTTATAATGACAAAAAAGCACACGAATTAACGCTTAAAGAACATAAGATCAATATCAAATAAAAATCAATTCTCCTCAATACTTTGCACGATAGTAAATATGGAATGTAAAAAACCTTTTTCCGCCAAACAGCTTACCAAAAATCACAAATTCTTTGCAGCCAAGTTATGAAAAAGGTCGTCTGAGGGACTGGAATATGGATTTACTCTACTTCACATACTTAACTTTAGCTGCGCAACTAAAGTACCTACATAAATTATCATCTTGCAAATCCCCGCAATCGATGCGAATTCTTAACACCAAGGTAGTGATCGACGGAATGATGGACACGAGAACGGACAGGCGTCCTTTTTTGATGGCACGCCGTTACATTATCACGAATTATATTGTAAAAAAAGTATTTTGCAGTCTGCGCATGCGCGCATTTGATTTTCACTAGGTATGTGCGACGTGTTTGCCGTTGGTAATCACATTTGTAGTTTTCGACTTTTACTACATGTGATATGTTTTTATTTACTAAAGCATCTATGGTTAAAGTTTCAACGATATATCTTTAAAAATAAGGAAGTTGGCACTGACTGCGCATGCGCACATCTAATAATAATAATAATAATTTAATCGTAAAATCGTAATAATGTTTACAATATCCGATATGTTTGCCTTTAACAGAAGCATATGTGATTAAAATTTCAAAACAATATCTCGATAAATAGTACAGTTGATATTGCGCAACCTGGGCATGCGCACATTAATCTGATGTTTACAATATGCAATACCTTTGCTTTTACTAAAAGCATATCTAGTTAAATTACAGTTAAAGTTTACATGAATTTTTCTTGTATTTGTATGTTCAACTCATTACCATGCCTTTAAGAGTAAACAGAATTAACTTCGGAATTAACCTTTTCTCATTTAAATAGTACCTAACAAAAAACTTTAAAGAATCGACATCTTCATCATATTGTCGAAATGTGGACTTATGAATTTGAATGTTAGAGTGAATATTAATTTTAAATAGTGAATACCTTAAGAATTGGGTTCATAATTTTCTATTTTTAGACTGCTTTCACATTGGCAATTTTAGCGGCGCGACTCAGAAGCGCGGTTAAGAATCGCCAATGTGAAAGCAGTCTTAAGGTTACGAATTGTGCTTTAAAAGATGGGGTAGTGATTGTTATCGTTTAAAAAAGTTTTTATTTTTGCACAGCTTTACGAAGAGCCCCGCTAGCAAGTTCTTAACCAAGGTGCTAATCAAATTATGATCAAGTTATTAGTCCGAGTATTAGTCAAATCACGTCACACGTGTTTGAAAACGTTCCTCCGTTTCATCTTTGAAGCTTCTTATCATCTATGACTATAACTCTCTTTACGTCGCGTCGTTACCTACATGTTTCTACATCTTAAGATTACCACCGATAAACAAGACATCTACTATCAATTCTTCCATCATATGAAGAATAATTTTGATTTACACATAAGTGCTGATTTGATCTTTATATTCATTTGATTCACTTTTATTAAGGATCATGTCCTTTATAGTTTTGCATTATTGTCCGCCCGTCCGTCCGTGTGCGCTCTAACTCTTTTTAAAAGTGGCCGATTGTGTTGAAATTTGGTGTACGGGTATACTTTGCACATTAAGGACGGACGCTATTGATTTTCAGGAAGCCGATTCAACAGGAACAAACGTTATAGGACTTCGAGCGAATCGGGAACAGGAAAAACTGCGGACTAAATATAATAGAAATCAAAATATTTCATTCCCTAGGTCATGTATCGAGTTCGGACTTTCGCTACATTATTCCCTATTACTCTTAGATGTGTAATAATTCAATATAACTCTTCTCTGTGGTATAGAGATATCACATTTGATAACCGCATGTGTGTGATTCAAAGATGTTAAATTATTTTTCTGAGGCCACATGGATTTTCATCAAAATAAGTCAAAATCGTTATTTATGCACCAAGGTAGTTGAGAAAAAGAAAGACTAGAGGCATTTCTGGCGACCACATGCATTTTGATCAAAACATGTCAAAATCGTTATATACTTGTATGCATCAAGATCATTGGGAACAATATTAAGAGCATTATCTCAATGCCCATCAAGACATGAATTTGATGTATTTTGTAAGATTAAAATAAATTATCGTTAAAATTGAATGTAATACCAATGAATATCGAACTCGGGTATTGAATATCCGAGTTGGATATTCATTGGATCTTTCGATATTTCGTTGTATCGGTTTATTAGTTTACGAAGTGTACGCGTATTAAACAATTGTTAAGAACTTTATTTGATGTCCACGAAAACACGAGTCGGGAATCATTTAATATTTCTTTTACCTACTCGGCCTACTCCATTTTGTTTATAATTCAGCGTGAAAGATTCGAGCTAGCAGTTTCCTGCGTTTGATTTATCTATTTATTTTATTTAGGTAACTGTTTGAGAGAAGGCGCTTAGAACGTGCTGCGCCCATTATTATTTTGCTTTTAATGCCCTTGGAATTAATTTCATTTGTTTTCAATAACGGATTATTAACCCTATTATCTCAAAGACTCAAAATTACACACGTTTTCTCCTACGTGTTCTACAGTTTGCTTAACTACTTCTTTTATTAAGGGATACTTCAGTGACGCATTTGGATTCGTCCGATAATAATCGTAGTTTCCAGATCAGAGTGGTTTGCCATATACAGCTTATTTTTGTGAAGTGTGCATAATGCAATTCTAGGGCTGCGAATTGTAAATGGCCCGCAAATAGATTAACTACTCCTATAACTCACTAAATGTAGCGAAAGCTATAAAGTCTAAAATCATTTTTAGAAAATGCGTTTGGCAGTTTTCCCAGTGAAGTTTCTATATAAATAGAGGTTGTGGATATAATTTGTTAGTCTCTAAGCAAACTTCGTTGTCTCATATAGAAGCAATAAATTACGAGTGTTTTTAAGTTAGTACCGGTTTGAGGTATTACAAAAACCAGTAACGATTTTATTGTGACATGGAAACCCACACTTTAAAGAATTTTCCACATAATTTCCGATTAGGTATATCGAACAACAAGCTTTTCTATACCGTCATCATAGGAATTTTCCGGCTAGTTTGACAACCACTGCAATGCTATTGTTTTGACGGTGTCCTAAGTCATCATTGCGCTGACGAATACACCTTTCCTGTCCCAAAGCACGGTACACATGTTTTTTTGGATTGAAATTGTGTTCTTACACCGCATGTTTGGACGATGTTGATTGCCGTCATTTCATGGGCTGTTGTTTTGATGAGACAATTTGGCTTAAAAAATCCTCACAATTGCAGTGAGAAATAGAAGCCCGCACATCCAGAAAGAAACTGGGCGTAATTATGTAAAGATATAGAAGGGATCACGGTCTTCCTCTTTCCGGCGAACAACGAGCTGCAGATATTAGAAAATCTTGATAGCATAACAATAGAATTGAGGGATACCACTCTCGGTCGATGCATTGTAGCGGGAGACCTGAACCATTGAATAGAGGAGTTGGATATTCAATGCCTGAACGCTGCTTCCACCTTGTGGGAGTGTAGGCGAGGTCAAAAATAATAGTATTTAAAGTACAAGTGCATTTGACGAAGATTGTCAGTCTTTTCAACGGAGACTATCTTAGGAGCTATTAATGATTTGCAGAATAAATTTTGTCTGCGGTCGTTAAATAGTATTCCGACTCCGAGATCGCAGAATACAAATGCTCGATGTCCAAAGTTGAATTTGACTTTTAAATGGACAGAATTGGGGACGGGGGAGTCATCGCAAGAGTTAAATAAATGTATAAAGTTTATATTTTGTTAAGAATAGTGGACAGTGTTGGACCGCAGACAAAATTATTCTGCAAAATCATTATAGCTCCTAGAGTAGTCTTCGTTGAAATGTGACCCCCTTTACACCCCTATTACCCTCTGAAGTCCCACGATTGGAATTTTGACATCAGATTTGAGCTTGCCAACCTCAAAATACTACATAACGATACCAAGCACCGCTTATTTTGCAGGCCAAAGTTCGAGATTGAGCTTAAATCCAATATGGCGGCCGTATAGTCAAAACGAAGTCTGCAACGAGTCTAATTTTATTATTTTTGTGTTTATTAGGCATGACGAGTTCAAGAATAAGCTCTCAGAGCTAATTAAAAAAATATTTTGGAATTTTTTTTAATGGCCGCCATCTTAGATTGGGGGTGGTCGAAAACGAATGTGCTTCAGGTCAAATTAAATGCTTTTTAATGAATCACAATCCTGCCAAGTTTCACAATTTCTGCACTAATAGCCTCCAAATGGCCTTTTTTTCGGTTATACCGCTTAGACTATTTGTGAGTATCCTCTTCCGACAATCCGTTCTGGAGATATAGAGAGAATATATCCGATCACGATAAGGGGTCGAGGAGGAGGACTGCGGTTGGTAGAAGGTGTGTTTAACTTAAAAAAAATGCGCTAAAAATAAGCTAAAGAGCAATGTTCTTTCGAATAAATTATTACGGTGGTTATCTTCATGGGCGTACGCAGCTTTTGGTCTAGGGAGGGGCAAAAACTAAAATTGACGGAAAAAAAATGTTTAATGAAACACATAATATACATTTTTATTTTTAGTAGGTAAGTAATAGTTACTAAAAACGTCTTCAAAATTATTATATCTCAAAATATTAGTTATTACCGCTTTTATATCAATTAATTTTGTATTAAATATGTAAAAAAAACACGGGGCAAAAATAGATAGGCTCGTATAAAGGCCATTTCGGTATATCGGTAGTATTTTAGGCAAGTCGGTAGATCTACCGAAAAATCGGTAGACGGAACATCACTGGCACCACTGCACAGTGGTTTGTGTTAACGCGCGATTACTGAACGATAACAGCTTCGCTCAGCCCGACGGCAGGCGAGCCGGGCTGGCGCCTAGCTAGTAGCTGTACAGGTGCCGGTGTGCCGAGTAATCGGATGGGCATGGGGCTCGGCATGGGGACAGCGATTTTCGGGATCGGTACCCTAATTTATAGCTTAAAACCTCTTTCATTGCTTAAATCTCAAAAGAAAAGGTTTTGAATTAGAAGCCAACAAAGACAATTCTTACAGATATTTTTTAACACATAAATGTAACCTGTGGCCAGGTCAGGGAGGGGCAGCTACCCCCCTTGCCCCTCCCTGCGTACGCCCATGGTTATTTTGCGAATGATGATGAGGTCTAAATGTCGTGCGATCCGTTCCTTGCGTGATTTAGGTAGCGTCCAACAGAAATGTGAATGTAAAATGAACCTTAACAAAGCTTTCGGTTGGACAATTAGCAATAGCACACAACCAATACTTTCTTCGCAGTGATGGTACATTTGATAAGTAGTTACGGACAATTCAAACATGGATGTCTACCAAATTGACACCATTTTTCACCTGTAAATAAAAGTGATCGAATTGAGGTCGACACCTTAAAAGGAAAGTAGTATTTCCTGCATCGTCGTGATCTTTATTTACACTTGCAAGGAAAAGTTAAACAACTACATGTCCAACGATATGTATACTTAGACTTAAAGTGAACTTGAAAATGTGTATACCTACTATTATGAAGAATTAGTGATGCAAAAAATTAATATCCGTACAATAATTCAGGCAAATTAAAATCAAATTGAGCAATACGAAAGGATGTTACGGTTATTTAAGTAACAAATGAACTACTTATTAGTTAAGTCGGTAGTCATTCAGCTGTATTGTGTGGAGCTTTAAACTTCAATTTAAGCAATCGCAAGTAAACAATTATAGAGCTTTTGTTGTCCCTGTCATTAAATAATAAACATATTAAATTAACACTTGTTAAAGTGTAGAATGCAATACATTCTAATTAAATCAATTTCGTGGCCATCCGGTCCTCAAAAGGCGTAGGTACCTACTTTTACAAAAACGAAACGAACCCAATATTTTCGGAAGCATAAAAATTGAGTAATAACGGATAATCGCGTTCAAATTAATTCAGCGAAAGTCCGTCTTAACAAAATTTCGTACGCAAGTTCTATAAATAAAAATAGGTAACGGTAAGATAAGGTGTGTCCAGAAACGCTAGGAATTTATAGTTTACGTATGTCAGTTACTTAAGTATATTATATTTGTTTAAAGCAGGAGAAAACCGATTCCGAATACTTAATCCATTGACCACCAAAAGTGTTATTACGCGAAGCTCCAATCTAAAACGTAACAAAAGCCCCGTTCTCCAAAGGTTTAACCCACCCGCAGCAAAAAAATTAATATCATACTGTTGTTTTAACGCAATTTTGATAAAACCATCTGTGCCTGCGGACCGAGCTGCGGACACTATCACAGACAATCAACGTAGACACTATGGCACTGGCCCTGGGTAATCTCGGCGCGTAATTTAGGTAGTTTGCCCTGGGACGCGAAGTTATATTTATCCAGTTGGCCCGGGGTGCATGGTTAGTTTGGGAGTTTGATCCGGGCTTACCATATTTAGGCAATTTGGCCTGCGCTTTACACTGGCTGATCCAAAATGGCTGCAGACAGTTTGAATTTCCCGCAAAACTAAACATTTATAAAGTTGGTAACATACCAAATGTCATTTATTTAAAAGCAGTGGAGGATCAATTTAAATTTAATGGATTTTATCACTCATACCTATTGATTTACCCACCAGCTTGTTTAGATAATTTCCGACTTAATTTCTTGGGGCTACGTTCTTCGGCAACTTCCACTAACATGGTAGGTAGATTTTTCGTTGAATTACAATAAGCACAACCGAGTCAAATATGAGTATCTTTTAAACATGTTGCGCTTGATAGTACGCCTTTAAAATGAATGTTTCAATATGTTCATTAAATTTAAATAGTTATATCTGTTGATCTCTATTTAGATTTCTATACGTGTGTATGGCGTTTGTAATAATTTTATTCTCATTACTCTTACTGGTGTAGTATTATTTCATCTAGTACATTATCTTTAAGCTAAGTTTTCGTTTATTTTCGCACTGCCTTAATTTATACTTTATATAATTTTTGATTTTTTGTTGAGTTTGGAGTTTTGTATCTAGGTTGGAATAAAGATTATTATTATTATTATTTTTCTCTTAATTTTTTTTTAATTTAAACTATTTATTTTGAATCACCCGCTATATTAGTAGTAGGCATTCAACGTACCGGGTGACCCAATAAGACTGTTCCTCGGCCATATCTCGGGAACCGTTCATCGTAAGACTTATGCCCGTTTGCACCGACAAATTTAAGCGGAGCTTAGCTTAAGTGTAGCTTAAAATCCATGACAACCATTGTCTCAATAATCGTTACCATGGATTTTAAGGGACGCTTAAGCTAAGCTCCGCTTAAATTTGTCGGTGCAAACGGGCATTAGGGATAAAAAAAATTATTGGGTAAATCGGTTATGAAGAATCGTTGGAAAATATTTTCGAGTTCTAAAAATGACCACCAGAGGGCGTAACAGCCATCTTAAATTTTAAAATTGCATTTTGTTTAAATTTCGCATAATAAACTAAACATTCTTTTTTCACACTTTTAAAGAGAACCAGTTCATCTATCATTTTCGTAAAACAAAAACTCCGTTATTTCAAAAACAAAGATGGCGTGGGGCGTTCAATTGTTTTTACAATAACCTGCTTTAACTTCTTAACCGTTTGACCGATTTTAACAAATTTGGTATGGTTGAAAAGAGCATTCCTTGGGCAATGAGAATCAACCATAATATAGTTAATTTAGTTGAATCCTTCTCCGCCAGAAGGCTAGTTTTGACACTATAATCCAAAATCCTAAAAAAATCAAATGGAATGATATGACTTTTTCTTTATGAAAAAGTAGCCAAATATCACCCAAAGAGGTCACTGAAAACCGTTTATCAAAATCTCGTTCCTAATCTCAAATATTCGGAAAATGAGATTAATTAATTAATTATTTAATAAAAATGCTTAAATTGTATCTTATTTGACGTATTTCCAGTATTTGTCGATGGCGCGAAAGATTGTTTGGAAAAGAACCCTACACTTTTAGGTAGGCCTTGGAAAATTAAACAAATGAAACACGATGCATTATAAAATAATAACAGCCGTCATTTGTAAATTATTCTGCTGTGTTTACATTCAGAAGGTGCAGTTTTTTGAATTTGTAATCTTTTCTAAAATGCCGATTTCTAACCAAGAAGCATTTAATATGCTGGCGGCGATGGTTCGTGGTCGATTCGGATAACGCAAATAGAAGATGCGGGCAACGATGGTCGCATTTTGAAAATACTCAAAATATATCGTCAGCATATTAAATGCTTCTTGGTTAGAAATCGGCATTTTAGAAAAGATTACAAATTTAACAAACTTAACACACAGCAGAATAATTTATAAATGACGGCTGTTATTATTTTATTTTATAATGCGTCGTGTTTCATTTGTTTAATTTTCCAAGGCCTACCTAAAAGTGTAGGGTGCTTTTCTTTCGCGCCATCGACAAATACCGGAAATACGTAAAAAGTAAATTTAGATACAATTTAAGCATTTTTATTAATTAATTAATTAATCTCATTTTCCCAGTATTTGAGGTTAGGAACGAGATTTTGAAAAACGGTTTTCACCGAGGTTTTCACGCTCCACGCCATCTTTGTTTTTGAAATATCTGAGTTTTTGTTTTTACGAAAATGATAGATAAACTGGTTCTCTTTAAAAATGTGAAAAAATTTTGTTTACCTTGACGAGAAGACCCCATAGAGTTTGATTTTTTATTTTATTTTAGAATAATTTTTGTATCTAAAAAAATTAGTTATTATGTGAAATTTAAAGAAAATGCAATTATAAAATTTAAGGTGGCAGTTACGCCCTCTCCTGGTCATTTTTAGAACTTGAAAATATTTTCCAGCGTTCTTCATGACTGATTTACCCTCGGATTTACCCAATAATTTTTTTTATACTCCTAAGTCATATGACGAACGGTTCTCGAGATATGGCCGAGGAACAGTCTTATTGGGTCACCCGGTACAAAACAATCTCAATCTGGAATAATATGCAAGTTACCCAACCCACTCGATCTGAAACAGTCTCACATTCTAAAGCTTCTGAAAAGTGAATATGGAATTATCTAAATGAAAATGGTGACCATCACACAAAAAAAATGTCTCAACTTTGTATCTCGTTTTATATACTGTGCAGGCAATCTGTTCGTTTTTCTACTTCAGTCTAAAACGTGGGATTTGATCCCACAATTACTTATTCCTTTTTATTAAAGGTAACTCATGGGAGCAAAGGGCCTACTACGTAAGATATAATTACTGTTACCTCTTACACAACGAATGTAGTTGCTGAATTCCTTTTGTAGTTTGTTAGCAGCATTTTGTTGTCTCGTGAAGTTCTGGAGATGTTCGTCAAATATGTCATCTGCCGTTCTGTCAACTTTGCCTAGGTTTTGTAAAATCTGTAACAAAAGAAAAGATTTAGTAAAAGGTTCAATTTTGTTTAAATCGTTTTGCAGATCACAGTTCAATGATACAGGTCTTAAAAACCAACGTAAGTACTATTTTTTCGCATTTCATACAGACATGTAAAAAATCAAAAGGATAAGAAAATGAAATCCAAGGTCAAAAATGCATCTAATTATTATTTCTTGTTGGAACATAGTAGGTAGGTAGGTAGGTAGGTAGGTTAGGCCACAGTGCATCAAAAGCTGAAGACATTCATAATAATGGATCGCTATATTGTAAAGTCACTACAGATGCATTGGGATTCAGTTATACAGAAAGTACTTATTTTAAATTCATACAACTTATGAAATCTAGCCTACCGTGTACTGTCAGGGTGCACAGTGTCTGTTTTGTTACACGGCATGCTAGATTTAATAAGTTTTCTAAGCAGTGAATCACGAATTTTTTCAATGTTTTGTATATCAACCGTATGCATACTTTATGTTGTCATACAGCAAATTTATTTATTTATTTGTTTAAAGGAAATACCGAGGGAAATACCATTTTTACAACAAAATGCAAAACATAATATCCTAGATTGCTCTTTTCAAAGATCTTAAAAAATATAGGCATTGCATTTGAAAAATAAAAGTTGCCTTTAAACTGGATACCAGAAATTTTGAATATGCCATCGGATAGATCGTGATATCGCATACAAAATTATAGTTTGACCATTGTTTCGAATCTCGCCAAATAAAAGACATATTGAGGTGCTCAGGTGACTCTCTTATCTCGAACACATACAGGGTGACAATTTGAAAATTTACCACCCCCCATATCTTAGTAAATAAACGAGATATTTAAAAAAATCAAAATCCGTTTCGGTAATTCGGAGGGGGAATCACAATGACATAGTTGGCGACGCACCCCCTCCAACCCCTGCGCCCCAGCCACCCCAACTTTTAAATCTTAAATAGTGACCCCCCATGTGTGATACGTCGTTGGAAAGCTCTGAAAAAACGCTTTCCAACCATAGTAATTATCGTGCAAATCAAAAAATAAACATGGAAAATCGTATTTAACTTGAACTTCCAAAGCCGACTCGACAGCAACTCATTTTTGATCGCCAGTTATAATCTATTGTCAAACTGTTGTCGAACCTTTCCAATGTTGGTTTTGCAATATTTCGACATTCTTGAATTATTCTCTGTCTTAGTTCGTCTATGTTCGCCGGTTGCGTTTTAAATACGACAGATTTCAAATGTATCATATTAGTTTATTTTTTGATTTGCACGAAAATTACTAACCTAAATGTAATGCTATTTGGTATGGTTGGAAAGCATTTTTTCAGAGCTTTCCAACGACGTATCACACATGGGGGGTCACTATTTAAGATTTAAAAGTTGGGGTGGCTGGGTCGCAGGGGGTTGGAGGGGGTGCGTCGCCAACTATGTCATTGTGATTCCCCCTCCGAATTACCGAAACGGATTTTGATTTTTTTAAATATCTCGTTTATTTAATAAGATATGGGGGGTGGTAAGTTTTCAAATTGTCACCCTGTATAAGTATAGTACATATAAGCAGTGATTTTTTTCGATTGCTACTCGGATTGCTATAAGCTAAAATAACAATCAATACCGCCCCAAGTTGGTAAGCGAGGTAGGTACAACCATTGATTATATAGATAGTGTATATAATCAATGGTACAACACTTTGAAATTCGAGTTAGTAAAGTCAAAATTAACCGATTGTGCAAGAACACTGTTTTCTGACTTTTATTACATGTCGTTATTTACCGATATACTCGCCGATTAGTATTAATAGGTAGGCGGGAATTTACTCAACAATATCGAAAACAAAGTCCCGCAATGTTCGTTAAATTAATGTACCCAGAGAAATCACTCACAAAGATTGCTACTTGTACTCATAAGGAATGTACTTCCTTAACACTAGATTCAGTTCACTTATTTTCAGAATAAATTTAGTTTAAATATGTAGGGTCTACTGATTTCAGTTTCTATTCTGTTAGTACTATTAGGATTAGACACTAAAGCGTACCCTTTAACTCTTTTACGTAAACTTGAAAGTGCAATTGTAGAATTATTCCAAAGAGCGATCAAAACACGAAACAAGTTTGGATTTAGAGAGTATAGGCAACTGGTGATGCACATGTAATTCAATGGGGCGTGCATTGCCTCTGAACTTCATTCACCATTCCATAAGCAAGGGGTGTATATGATCGGAAAAATATGCATTAGGTAGATAGATGTACAGAGCATAGTTTCCATACAATATAAACGGATATTTTGTCCATTAAAATATGTTTAAAAAATCCAGAAAACATGCGTCAAAAGAGTTCATAGTTTAAGAATTAATTGCAAAAATTAGGGTGTATTGGATCGGTAGCGTGAATACTTATCTATATTTTGGCAATTCATGTGAAGCTCAAAAGTTTTCATAAAAAAAGTGGTGAATGAAGTTCTGAAAAATGGGCATGTAAACTGGAGAAATGGAAATAAACTACGCAACTGTGACTAATATCGCGGTCAACAGTGTAGCTTCTTTCTCACAGAGGGTGCCACCAAGAGTTTTATGAAGTCAGTAAAAAATACGATAAAGATATGAAATAGGTAAGCGCTTTTATCTTGCGATGGAGTTGTTCTTACTTTTTAACTAGGCTAGTACTAGTACTGTGTAATGGGGATAATAAAAGACCAAAAATTTACGAGCAAAAAAAACTAGCAGGCTATGTAAGTTGCCTATGCTAAATCATTTAGCGATTCTCTTTCAAGGTTGAACAGAGCGTGCGTGTAATAGAATTTGCTGACAGCAAGAAAAAGATCGTTCACTGGTATATTTTTATTTTGTCAACTACTTGCTTCGAAATTTATTTGGTTTCTCTTTCCTATTCATTGCAAAAGGTACCTCCTCTACCTATCGTTTTATGAAATAAATAATAGAAATGGGGATAGGTAACATTCCTTTACAACAAATATCAAAATTTTACGTAATTTTTAGAACAAAGGGCTGTTGTATATTGTTGTTGATGTCTGGCAAGATGCGACCTTGTGTGGGTGTTTATTTGTAATGCGATTTGTTTGACAGTCTTCCCTATTCTTTATCTTTGCTGATTGCAGATTAAAATACCGTAATTTATAATCCATACCTTGTTGCAAATTAAATTTTTTGAACTTCAATAGTTCCATTGAATAAAGCTCTTTATTCAATGATAGTACCTATTACATATTAGTATTAGTTTAGTCAGTTTAGTGTAATGTGTAATAATTGACCTATACAGGGTGATTCAAATTCAAAGGCCACCATGGGGATCTCGGGAACTGTAAGAGATAGGTAGTTTACATTTGACAAAGTTACCCTTGATGGTAACATCATCTATTTTTAATAAGAAATAACGTTAATTCGTAAAAACGCAAGAAACTACTTACGTACGTTACTTAAGACAAAGGCAAAAAAGATATTTTACAAGCATTAAAAAAATTGATGTGTACATTTTTGAAATCAGAAAAAAATTCTCTATCAAATGACACAAAAAGTAAAAATTACTTCCATAAGAAACAAAGTTGATGATAGTTAACCGGAGACGAAACGTCAAACTTCAAATTTAAAAGTAGCATCTTGTAGAGGGAAAAAAGGGGCCATAATAATGTGTCATTTATTATTAAATATCTTTGTAAACAACTATTAACTTCAGTAAAAAACAAAAACGATTTTCAAAATCTCGTTTTTTCCGGATATCTCCGAAAGTAGTCAGAATTTTCAGTTTCAAAACTGTTTTTGTTAAGCATCAAAATACACAACTTTGCCAAATTTACCACCTCACCTACCTATCTCTTACAGTTCCCGAGATACCCATGGTGCAGTGCCGGATTTAAGCCCCATTCAGATAGGTGGTAGTGCGGTGCCGTTGCCTTGTTGTGCGGTGCGGGCTGGTGCTGTCATGTTGACATTTGCTTTGACAATCACCGCAAAATTGGCCCGCCTACACAAGTATGACCAATCAACGACAACAGCAGCAGCAAATTTGCTTTGACAGATCGCCACGACAAATATGTTGCGCTTCTATTGGTGCTTGCTAACTGTAGTGCAGAAAGTTTGAAGTTTACATAGTTTAGGCACGTGGTTACAATTCGTCTGCACTGCACATGTCATTGTGAATTGCCTTGCCATATGGGTATGCGTATTTCAAACTTTTATACAAAGGCACCGCATCGCAACAGCACTGCACTACCACCTATCTGAATAGGGCTTTAGGGTTTCTGCCGCTGTGGGCAAACATTTTTTGCCGCCCTTGACATATCACTATATCACCATTATTACAAGGTGGGAAAAGTAAGGCATTCATTGGCTATATTTGCAATGCAATGAATGTACTAACAGATTTTATTTTTGCTTCATTTCATTTACCGATTCACAGTTTACCTAAAAAATTTGAACGCATTTTAATTTTTCTGTTTTCCTCCAAATTTGCCGCCCTTACAATTTTGCCGCTGTGGGCAATTGCCCACGTTTGCCCCTTATATAAATACGGCACTGCCATGGTGGCCCTCGAATTTGAATCAGCCTGTATATTACTAATTTACAAAAGACCATCCCTCGAATGTAAGACATGGGGAACAAATGTATATTTAGGTATAAACGGCTAAAAAATTTAAAAAAAATCGGTATACCGTATGTCCCCGGATTGACTTTACAAGAAGAAAAACTTTTACTATACTTTTTGACAAAAATGCATTCTCCATAAAAGCTTTTGCTTGTTCTAATTCGAAATTTCCCTACCGTTTCAGAGAAAAATACAAAAAAAACGAAAATATGGTTGAACTTTTTCCAAGTCCTAAAAGTCAAAACGCGTCTCTACTGTAATAACATTTCGTTAGTTACAAAGTTCGTTACCTGTTATTTGAATAGGCACTAGGATCGTTATAAGTATAACAAACACACTTCATAATAACATTGAATAAAAACCTCTTTATTCAATGGTAACAATGA